AGGCGCCCCCTGTTTGTGTTTTTTCCCTAAATACTACTTTCTGCCTGCAGCAAACTGATTACATCATCTCAGCCCATTTATTATAAGCATTGTGATAGTTTCTCACTCTACTGTGGTAGCTGCTGTCAATCACTAGAAGAGGACCTGATGGAGAAATTCAGGTCCCCCTCTGCTGATTGGCAGCAGCAGAGGGCGGGTGCAATAGCTAGTTTGCTATTGGCTATTGCAAAGTGAAATAGGAATCTAGCTATGCATTCCTATGGTGGTTTTTTTTTTTTTCTGACTTACGGCGGCCCTCGATGTCAGAAAAAAACAACAATCGCAGGGAAAGGTTTACTCTGCTCGATCGAGCAGAGTAAACCTTTCCAGAAGAAAGTGTTTCTCTCCCGGGCGGCTGGGAGCCGCTATCTAATAGCGGGAGACTCCCGGGCGACCCCTGGCAAATTGTCATTCGACCCCCGACGGGATCGCGACCCACAGGTTGAGAACCGCTGTGGTACATGAATTCATTTTTAAGATTTAACTAGTGAGTTTAGTGTCACTTTAAGAAGCTAGGGGCTCATTCAGCCGGTGAAGCTCCAGTGGTAATTAAAATATCACTTTTCAGTGATACTTTTTTTTTTTCAGGAGAATAGTGTCAAAAAATGTATTTGCTACTTTTCTAATTATCTAATATTTGTGCACAGCTTGAATGCTACATAGCGACACTCTGCTGACATTTGATGATGAGTAGTACCAAGAAGTGAAGTGATCTATATGCTTCACGTTATTGGCAGTTTGCATACTTGCAGTGTACCTAAGCTGATATAAATGTACCTATCTGCCTATAGTGAAAACCATTTAGTCCACCTTTGCTACTTTGTGCCATACCCCTTGTCTATGCACAACATGAATGCCACACAATGATACTTTGTTGCACTTGAATCACATGGTAATGAGCATTTATTACCTAGAATACCACTGCTCTCACAGCTCTGCGGGTCATGGCTTGGTAGTGGACAGCCGAATGCCAATATTAACAGCCATACCCAGCAACTATTCATCCGGCTGAAATTCAGTAGGTTTAAGGCCATGGAGGAGAGGGACCATACTGGTTGGCAACCCTATTGAATCGATAATACCAGCGGAAAATGCCAGACCTCATCCTGTTGTCACATAGCAAAAATGTGCCACTTAGAAGTAGTGTGGAGTAACCTCTTAGCCAACTTTTCGGAGAGTGACAGGATCTGCTTTCATGGCCAACATTCCTCGGGTCGGTGAAAAGAGGAGCAGCTGTAGTGGTGGCTGTCACAGGGAGATCTTCTTTACAATGCATCCTAAGTCCCTCTTTACGTTGCATCAGCTAGTCCTACTTTATTAAAAATAAAGATTCACAAAATTATATTCTCACAAATGTATATGTAAAAGGACCTTCTGGAAATAAAACTGGTAGATCACCGCTACATCTGTAATCCCAGACCAAGGGGCAGAGGACGTGGAGGAACCATTGAGGAAGCTGCCTGTGTCTCCATACACACTGTCCTAGGCTTATGCGTTTTTGGGGCCACACCCTCTTCCTTAGAGCCCTGAGGAAGGGAGTGAATGGTTGCTGAATGGTTCCCGCACGTCCTCTGTCCCTTGGTCTGGAATTACAGATATAGCGGTGATCTACCGGTTTTATTTCCAGAAGCTCCTTTTACATATGCATTTGCAAGTATATTATTCTGTAAATCTTTATTTTTAAAAGCTGTAGCTATTAGCCCCCTGTAAATGGAGCCTAAGGGCCCATTCACACCACATCCAGATTACCTCCAAACCAGACTGTTTCCGCACCCAAAATGCATCCCTATGTATCCCTATGCCATTTCTGGCCTCTGTTCCCACCAGCGCAGTCTTGACCAGACCAGACCAGAAAAATACTGCTTGTCCTATTTTGTCTGGTCTGGAATGCACTGGAACGCATCTAAAATGCATGGAACGCACCTGTAAGACCATTTTAAGCGGGGGGGAAAAATTCCAATCGCGACAAAATCGCAATGGACTATGTTCCAGATCTGGTCTGGAAAATGGTGTGAACCCACCCTAAGGGCCCATTCACACCACCTCTAGACCAGACCAGATTGTTTCTGGACCTAAAATGCATCCCAGTGTTTCCCTATGCTCTTCTTGGCCTCAGTTCACACCATCACAGTCAGTTCCAGACCAGAAAAATACTGCGTGTCACATTTTGTCTGGACTGGAACGCGCACAAACGCGTCAAAAACGTGTCAAGCATGCAACAGTAAAATAAAAACTTTTTTTTTTTTGGCTGGTTTGATCTCATCGCCCTGGACTTCCTGCTTCTGTGGAGAAAGAGGTTTGTGAAGATAGGAACCATGATGGCTGAAGTGGACACTGAATTATTTGTAGAACTTGCGGTAGCCTGCCCAGAGCTGTATGATCTTGGCATGGGCAATATAAGAACAATAATAGGAAGATGGACAAGTGAAGAGGCATTGTTGCCCAGGGTGTCCCTGGCTATGATCATTTGAGCAGCTCTGAAAAGAACAACTGTGGTAAGTTCATGTCTCTTATGTGCAAGCATTGTGCTGCTAGTTTCCCGGCTATCAGTAGGTCTTGCATAGGTCCCCCAGCAAGACCTAAAATTGAACGCGTCAAAAGCGCAATGCAGTGCATTCCAGATCTGGTCCAGAAAATGGTGTGAACCTGTCCTAAGAGCTTCAAATCAGAACCTGGATACACAGAATTCTGTTTTCTCTAAACGTAGCTAAATTCAATCTAAAATCTGAATATTGTTAAAAATCAATTACATGTATTATATATTTAGAAATATACTCTAAACTCATAAAAATGCAAGTTTGACACTGCAAGTGTGTAGAAGGTCTAAGGCCTCATAAAAAAAAGCAAAGTGTTTTTTAGTTATGGTGCAGATTGCAGGTATCCTATATTCAATAGGAACATGCAGACAGGGGAGTAAACAGGAAGTGTGTTCAGATCCATAACACCAAAATCAAAAAATCTGTTTCTAAGTACATACATTTTGTAAGCATACGCATGTGAATGCATGCATACGTATGTAAATAAATGTCCAAACCAAAAAAATCACATCGCAAACAGATTGAAAATGTGTTTGCTCATCTAAATGCAAGCATTTGACTGATCATTACGCCCGAACATTTTGGCCAGATGAAAACATGCATATATGATCAGTGAATTTCTTACGGTCGTGTGAATGTTGCTTAAAAGTTCCCAAATAACTTCTGTGTTTAGAAAAAAATAAACCCAGGCGTGCCAGTGTGAATGACGCATAACCTGTGGCCATGCATGACTGATGCTGAAACACACATAAATGAATGGATCTAAATTTTTCTTTGAACTCATCAACTACCATCTTGTTATTACATGCTACAGTCTGTTATAAGTCTACAACAGGGGTAGGCAACAACAGCACTGCAGCTGTGATATAACTACAAATACCATCATGCCTCTTCCTCTGGGAGTCATGCTGGTGGTGTTCTGCTGACAGCTCCAACTCAGTGAGATCTCCGACTGGTGACGTTACATCCGGTGACTTGCCAGTAGCAGGCTTAGACCAGATGGCGCTGGTGCATGTGCGCCAGCCGTGACACTGTCAGTATCCTGATCGAGTTATGGGACTCCCGTCACTGCACCTGCACAGCTTCACAATCCCCATCAAGTTCTCCAACCCGTTAGTGTGCCTGCGCGGCTTCACAATCCCCATCAAGTTCTCCAACCCCCGTCAGTGCGCCTGCGCGGCTTCACAATCCCCATCAAGTTCTCCAACCCCCGTCAGTGCGCCTGCGCGGCTTCACAATCCCCATCAAGTTCTCCAACCCCCCTCAGTGCGCCTGCGCTGGCTTCACAATCCCCATCAAGTTCTCCAACCTCTCCTCAGTGCACCTGCGAGACTTCACAATCCCCATCAAGTTCTCCAACCCCCATCAGTGTGCCTGCGAGACTTCACAATCCCCATCAACTTCTTGATGGGGATTCTGAAGCCGCGCAGGCTCAGTGACGGCAGTGAACTCATTGAGGACTATAAGTGGCGCGGCCTGAAGCATGTGCAATAGACCCATCTGCTCGAAATCTGCTACCATGTTTCCCAGAAAATAAGACACTGTCTTTTTTTTTGGCTCAAAAAAACACACTAGGTCTTATTTTCGGGGTAGGTCTTATTTTATTTTTTTTTTTTAATGTATAACAATCCAAAGTTAACGCAAATCCAAATTAAGTAATCCAAAATGGCAAAGTTAAGAATAGAGTGATCAGGGGTGTCGTTCGTACCTTTCCAAGAGCAATTTGGTAACCAATTGCTGGCCAGAATGAACGAAACGCACTTTCACTATTGATTCCTCATAGGCGGAGCGCATTTGGTATCACTCCGCCTGTGACAGGAGCAGGCGCTATAGAGGAGGCATCGGCTTATGCGGCTCTGCTCCCTCCTCACTTCCTCTAGTGCTGGCTTCGTTGGCACCGCTGATTCTCTCCCGTGGCTCAAGTTTCCCCTTATGCCACCACCGGCCCTGGGAATGGTCACAACTAGGTCTTATTTTCGGGGTAGGTCTTATATTTTAACAATTCCCAAAAATAGTACTAGGTCTTCTTTTCGGGGAAACAGGGTACTGGCAAGTCATCTGTATGACATCACCAGTTGAAGATCTTGACGAGTTGGAGATTTTGACAGAACAGTGGCTGTCAGAGTCTTGCAATACATCATGGGACTTGTAGTTCCTCAAGAGCTAGAGTACCAAGGTTGCCTATCCCTGCTCTACAATTGCCCTATTACAGAAGCAATTGGAATGTAATCTAGGTTATCCCAAACCTGTTTTTGTCTCCTATAAACCACCCTGATGCATTGTTAGGTATTGACACTATGCTTACACACAGCAATTTACTACAGCTCAAGTCAAGCCTTCCAAAGCTTTCACATTATACCACCCGCCGTCAGCGGCACGTAAAGCACGTGACTTCGAACTAACAACACGCACAGCTCTGTGCACGGGCCCGTATCTTTCCACCAGCTCGTGGCCGCGCTTTCCTCCCTCTGTCACCTGACAGGTCACTGCCGCCACTTCCGGCAGCTCGCTGGACAGCACGTAATTCGGTTCGGGTGCCGGGTTGTTGGCCTCGTTCTCCGCCGGGAGACATGGCAGACACTGTAGTTGATACTCGCCGCCTGCATAGCAAGCCTCAGAATCTGAACGACGCCTACGGACCGCCGAGCAATTTCCTGGAGATCGATGTGTCCAACCCGCAGACAGTCGGAGTGGGCCGGAACCGGTTCACAACCTATGAGATCCGACTGAAGGTGAGGCCAGTAGCAGCCCCTTCATCTGGGGAGCTCATGATCCTTGCTGTAACCCAGCACAATGAGCCTCCTCACCAGTACACAGGCCATAGTTCCTAGCCTGTCCACCATTGTAGGTGTCGTAACGTTATAATTAGCAATTTTACACAGCATGAGCCCTATGTGGGAGCAAATAGAAGCATCTGGAATCAGGCAGGTTGGATGTGTGGATCCCTGTTTTGTTTTCCTTCGGGTTGATGCACTCTTTTTGTATTGTTTGTAGATTATTATTGCTTTTTTATTATTGCTGTCTTCTTTATGAATTGTTAGTAACAGAAACTAATTACAGGTCTGTAAACCTCTTTCTGGAAGCCCTGAAACAGAGTGACTAGGAAAAAAACCTGCCTGTAAAGAAAACACCTAAAGCTTTTCTCTAAGGAGGGAAAAACCCCTGTCCACTCCTCACCCTAATCTTCTTTACCTGATCTGTCTGTGTCTGTGTTCAAAAAGGAAAAACAAACTGCCTAAAAGTGCCATTGACTTAAATGCGAACTATGGGGAGAGTGCAATCTACTCATGCCCATAGTTAGAGCCGACATGTGACACTGCAGCTGTCACATGCCGCCTTCATAGCTTGAGAACTGAGTGATAAGAAACTGCTGATCACTCAGTTCAGGATAGTCACCTCTCGCTGCAGGGAGAAGATCAGTCACTGCTCCCTGCAGGTATTCCCCTCTCCGTTCCCACAGCGTGCATTGGAGGAACAGATGGGAGGGGATGGGCACAGCTGGTTCTGGTTCTAGAGTGGTACAGCCAGCTGTCAATCAGGTAGCGGGGTGGATCCCAACAGTAGTGTCAGGATCTTTCCTGGCTGCAGTGCGGCTCTGCACTGTCAGCATATGGGTGGCAGCGGGCCACTATATGCTGAGTTTTGGGTCACAGGAGGACATTAGTAAAATGTCCACCTGTGACCCAAAAAGGTTTGTCCATAGTTCTCTTTTAAAGCTGAGCTCCAGGTATAAGTTTTTATGCATACTTACATTGGTTGTGCTTGGCCCAGTGTAAGTAAGCATATGTCATACCTGATTGGCCCTTGGGGATCCTGTAAGTAGCCAGAGATATTACAGTGCTTTACAGCACAGCAATCTTCTGGGTCCTGTATGGAGCCAATCTGAGCGACCTTTGCTGTGAAAACAACAGGCTCACTCGCTCAGCACAGCGGCCTTTCAGGGAACTCCAAGGGGGATATTTATCAAAACGGGAGCATTCAAAATCTGGAGCAACTGTGCATGGCAACCAATCAGCTTCTCTCTTCAGTTTGTTCAGTTAAGATTTGAAAATGAAAGAGAGAAGCTGATTGGTTACCATGCACAACTGCTCCAGATTTTGTCTGCTCCAGTTTTGCTAAATTCCCTTCCTAGTATTTTTATCAATGCATACAAGGTATTCTCGGATTGATTGGACGGGGGGTGGTGATGTCACACTCCACCCCTTGTATTAATCAACAAAAATCATTGCTACCCCAAAAAGTGTTGTGGACGATGAAGTGACAGTGGATTTAGGTAAGTATTATTGTGTTTTAGGGGCTTGGAAAGCATTGGGTGTAGACGGGGTTCTTTTTCCACGTTGATTTGATCTACTGGCCTCGAGTTTACTACTGCGTCCTGTAGTGATGTAGGGATCAGCCACTGAGGCTCTTCAAGAGTAAAAAGATCTGCTGTGCAAGTTACAGGATTTTTAAGGACCGACATATGGTAATTGGCATTTCTGAGGCAACACATCTCTAGCAGAATAATCGCCCCAAAGGGCTTCTATTTACCTCTCTGGAGTTTTTCCCTCACTGATATGGAGCTTTGCTGAATTTCCCTAGCTAACTCGCTGGTCCAGCTAAAGAATGAGCAACTCCATAGCACCAGGCGGCAGAATTACTTGTGTAGCATTCCCCCTAAGACTCCATTCACACTTATATTTTAGGTGTGATTAGGGATTCATGTTGCAGGAACTTGCGCTTCCCTCCAGAAGGAATCCCTAACCTGCCGTTTGCAAGCTGCAGCTGTCACCCAGTCAAGTTAATGATCGTGTGACATCGGTTGCATTTGCATGGCACATTGCATGCAAATGTATGTGATATGATTACATACGATTAGGAATCAATCACTTTTCTTGGACGCACAATCGATGTGTCCATGGATAGTGACCTTCTGTGTAAACAGCAAATTAGGGATTCCAAAGAGAACTATGGGGTAACCTTTTTATCACATAGTTCTCTTTAGGGTCACGGGAGGACATATACTAACAGCTCAGTATATAGTAGGCTATTGACCACTATATAGCGAGAGCGCCACAGTCGGGAAGGATCCCAACAATACTGTTGAGATCCACCCAGCTCGCTGATTGACAGCGGGCTCTGCCTATCTAGAGGCAGAACCAGCTGTGCCCGCCCCCTCACCTGTCTGTTCCATCAGTCAGCGCTGGAGGTAGGGCTGCAACAACTAATCGACATAATCGATTATAATCGATTATTGAAAAAGTTGTCAACTTTTTCAATAATCGATTAATCGAATTCCGATCAGTTGGCCCTGTTCACAGCTCCACACGCTGTGCGCCGCAAAGCTTGCTCCTGTGATGGACTACAACCTCAATACAAACTAGTAGTTCTATCACTGGAGCCATTTTTTAAACTTTATTTTATTGTTTATCCGATTAACCGATTAATCGAACTTAATAATCGGCTAACTAATCGATTTTGAAAATAATCGTTAGCTGCAGCTCTAGCTGGAGGATCGGAGAGGGGAGGGGGAATCCCTGCAGGGAGATGATCGGGAAATGAGCGACGGTATGTGTGCGCTCATTTCCCGATCCAACGTGTTGAACGTGTTAGTTTCATTGTCACAGGTCGGCTCTAACTATGAGGATGCGTAAATCCCTCACCTCATAGTTCTCCTTTAACTATAGGTGTGAATGAGGGCTAAGAGTGCCTTGCAGCAGAACACAGTGCTTTGGGATTGTGTTTAGAGAGGAAGTGCTGTGAGGTCATGGCATTTCGGTAATTCTAACTAGGGAACATCTGATCTGCCTCTGCGCTGCCTCCACTTGTATCAACAGAACAATGCACTAGCGATCTATTGCTTGCTGAGAACCAAGTGCAATAGATTACTATTATTGGAAACACTGAATAGTAACGGCAGAAAAGGACCAAGTGGTCTATTAATTGAGTCTGACCCCCCCCCCCCCCCTTTTGGTTATGTCACTGTTAAGTGATGATGTACCCATTATATAGTTCTCAGTTTGACCTATTGTCTTCTGTGTAGCCTGGCACTGAAAGCCTCAGCAGTTCCCCTGCATGGTTCAGTTAATCCTGTGTAAATTTTTAACTGAGTTCCAACCTGAGGTTTAACAGAATCCATCACTGGTTGAAGCAAACTTTACTTGCTCACAAACCCTTAAAAGCTGAAGTCCAAACTTAACAGGCATGTGAAGTCTACCTTGAGTCTTGATATCTTTTTATTTCTAGCAGATCTGTACTGTAATTCAACATGAAACAACGCCTTTGCTTTGCATTTGTGCTGGAGCTTCCTGTAATAAAGACCAGTCACTGCTGCGCTCCCTATCATTGTGCGGGTTGACTGGTCTTATATCCGATCCCACACACCCTTCACTCGAAGCGCATGTGGTCGGTTTGGCTTCCTTCGGCTGCTGTACGAGCTATTGTGAATAGCCCGTACAGCAACTCTTTTGGTCCGGCTGAACCGAAGGGCTCCAGCGGCCGAAGTGAGCCAAAGGATTCGCTTAAACGATGGCAATATCCTTTGCTCTTTAGTGAATAACACCCTAAGTGAATGATTTTTATCTGTCCTCACCCAGCATCTCCACCCCTTACCTCTCTACATAAGCCTTTATGTAGCTGCTAGGGGAGGAGCTAAAGGGAATACTATAGAGGCATTTGAGTGACAGCTCCGAGCCTACTGCTGACATATTTAAAACCCAGCACCAACCAGCAGCAGTCTTGGGGCTTTTGATGTCTACACAAGGGAAGTTTCTACAGGTTAATAATACTCATTAGGTATATGAAATGCACATATCTTATGGGAATATTTTTTTTTTTTTTTGTTGAAATGAATGGTCTGGTGACCCGGTCTTTTCACAGCAATTGATAATCGCTGCATCAGCTTTCCACTGTTCCTGTGCTGCGGAAATGAGAAATACACTTGGCCTATTCATTTCCTGTGAGCATATCAGCACTAGCACGTTATAGCATACTTCTTTGTTGCTCATTGAAAATGGTACAGAGATTATTTGGATTTGAATTAACATTTAATCCAACATCCTCAAATAAACCTTTCAGTGATGTGACAGTTGTGGGCTCTGGAGTATTATTATTTACATAAAATTATGACAACTTTAGCGTTAATATCGGTACAGAATAGAGAGCTACATTAGCAAGTTGTTTAGTGTGCTGGTGTCTATCCCTTACAAAGCTGCAGTGTAATATACTTGCCTGACCTGGTGCTGTGGGCATACAGTAGGCATCCACAGATTCCTGCACATAGGTCCATTTTAAGTGTAAGCACCCTGACTGGCCAGAAAACGTAGGTGCTGTGAAATGCACATACTTCCTGGGCCAGTTGGTCGAGAGCTTGTCCCCACCCTTTCCTGCTTTAGAAGCCTTTTTGTTGACTTCTCATCACAGTAACGGACCAATTATGAAGGTTAGGAGGCAGAATGGGACAGACACTTTATGTATTTAACTAACGGAAATTTGATTATATGAAACGGCTGGGAATTCCAGCTAAAAAAATGCTTGCATTAAAAGATGGACCGGTCATCAAGAGAGTCGTATGTACTTAGGACTCATTCACACAGGGGCTTATGCTGCATTCAATGGAATCCCAGGTGTCCACATTCAAATGCATTCGGTGTGCTCGTTCATGATAACGACAGGGTGACAGCGATAACATCTGTCAGAGGCTGTCTGCATATAATCATACATGGTACGATTACCTGCATTTCAGGATACATGA